GAAGGAAGTCGTTGGAATTCCATCGGAGGAGCTCTAAGTGTGGCATCCTAGTTCATCTGGTTGTGTATCTGTACAGGTCAGTAGACAGCGTCTATGCCTGGGTTCGAATCCTACTGAGGACGATGATTAATGTTAGTTAATGTGACCTTTCACCACTTCGATCAAGAGACACGTCATGTTCTGTTTTGGTCACCGTCCTAGGCCAAGGCGATTGGAATGCTGGAAAAAGTTCCTTGCGGAGCGCATGGGTCTAGCCCTTGACCATGGCCAGTGTCCCAACTCTTGACACCTTCGATCGACCACCGAACCAAAGTGCCAGGTTATTGTTTTTTAAATTGAAACAAGAACAGAAATTGGCCTCTTGTCGTGCGTATACGACGGCACATTCCAATGGGTTGAATTCGATGGCATTTTCGACGGAACATTGATCAGCTTCCCGCGTTGTTTTCTGAAGGGAAAATGACCTCCCAGGTGTTAGTTAGATTGCAGTTCCTTAGAAGCTCAATTGGATGAAGGGGCAACGAAACGATTCGAATGTTCAAATCAGTGTCAGGGCGAAAATGGATAATTTATGAAGACTAAAGTTGCAAAGAAAATGAGTGAATGGTCAAGCACCACGGTTTACGATAATCAACTGCTCGGTACTTCGAACCTGAGTTCCCATCCAGGAGGTCTACTGCGTTCTATATGAGCAAGTCTCTTGTTCAGTGTTTGACTACCTTTGACTTTGGCTATCCTCTACTTATCTCGGCAAACATCGCAAACCGTGGCAATCTATTTAGTGGCATGTCTAATACTTGCCAAAACCAATGTAATTTATGGAGTTCAACGAGTTGCTTCAGTGGGCGACCGCCGTTACCTAAATTTCCGTGCCTAACCTCAGCCTTACTTGTCCGGTTTTCCTACCGGACTCATGCATTGCAATGTAGATAGCGCTTTTTTAACACCGTCGGTTCCCGTAATGGCCAATTCTATGCACCGTTGGGCAGAACTGGCCAAACTGCTTCAGCATACACCCGACAGTTCACAGACAACCGGAGGTCACGATAACGTCACATATGTCTTAGGTTGGCATGTACCAATCGCGCCCACAGTTCATCGGTGGTGTGTCCAACAGGTGAGATATAGCTGTCTAGATAGCGAAATGTTTTCAAACACCCCATTTAGAATGAGGTCGGGAGCCGAACCAAACCAGTCATCTGGTAACATTTTGCACTTTGACGTTGCAAAACTGTGGTGTCTTAGCCTACGAGATGACGCATACCCTGGAGCGACACATCACAATTTCAGGACAACTGTGATCAATCGAGCTTCACGGGTGACGTCAACAATGTGCGTGTGAGCCACAGCTTCTGGAC